ATTTATGTATATGTGAGATATTTACACAAAAGCAGTTGAGGTAGCTACATGGAATATAAAACATTGTACCCAAAGCTTAGATCAGATATAGTGGAAAATAAACCCAATTTAGAACTAGATACTACTGCTCTTTAGCAAGCTTATAAGCTCTATGAAGAATGAGAAAGGAGAAAGAGATTGAGGTGGGACACTACAGTTAGGTAAATGAGCTTCTGAAAAGTCAGGGAGAAGTTAAAAAAGCAAAACTTAATATGGAAATATGTAGTTGCTGGGCTGGTGTATTAGGAGCATAGTAAGGATGGGCAGGGAGCAGAGAGCCTGAAAAGGTAGGTTGAAGTCATATTGTATGTGGCTTTACAGGCCTTTGGATGTTATATAAATGATGGGGAGTGTCTCACCTAAGGGGAATTGCTCCCCAGGCAAGTTCATTCTGGATTCAGTGAGCCAAATAACAATAACAGAAGTTAGGGATAAAAGAGTTTATATCAATGTGGTTTATTGAGTGCGAGAATCATGTCTGCCTTTTGGAAGTGATTGAATTATTTTAAGTGAAGTGGGGTTCATGTGACATGATCATATCTGTATTTTGGAATGCTTACTCTAGAAGCAGCATGCAGGACAGTTTGAAAAGTAGGGAGTTGTAGGGATAATGAAAGTTCCTGTGGCCAGGATCCTCACCTGACCCTAAACTGCTTGATGATGTAATTGACCTACTGCATAGGCTAATGATTGCACACCCATTGGCTAAGAGCCATTATTGTCGGTGTTACTATATAAAGAGCTCTGCCCAATGCTCTGCTCAGAAGCAGAGACTGAGACAGATTGCACACTCCAGAGGAAGACGTGATTCCAGGACTCAACCTGCCAGTGTGAGAATAAAGGTTGGTATAAACCCTTTTACCCCTACTGTTTCATTGTTGTTATTCGTTCTCACTGAATCCAGAGTGAACTTGCCCAGGGGGCAATCCCCCTCAGGCGAGACAGGAGTCTAGAAGCTAGAAGCTCCACTAGAGGACTGATGCAATAGGGCAAATAAAAGATGATAAATGTCTGAATTAAGAAAATGTAAAGTGGAAAAAAAGAGAGGGTACAAGGTTGAGAAATATTTAGGAATTAGTATCATCAGGAGGTGTGTCTAATTGCATGAGAGAGGTAAGGGACAGGGAGTTCAGGGCAACTTTCAGATTTCTGCCTTGACTGAAGGGATGATGGTACAGTTTAGCTGAGTTGAAAACACAAGTGTAGGAGGTGGTAGTTTACAGGAAAAGGAGTAAGATTTATTTTAAATATGTTAAGTTTAAGGTATGCACTGGCTATTCCTGCAGAAATGTTCAATAAGTAGTTGGTATACATGGATCTGGAGCTCAAAAGAGAAATCACAGAGATTGATCTGGGAACCTTAGGCACTCTTACTTTTCCTTTACAAAGCATATCTCTGGTATGTAGTTGAATTCCCATAAAATACCAAATGGATGAGTCTGTTGATCTTAGTAAACTCTTTTATTTTGCTAATAATGGTAAAATAATAATCATCTTTAAATTAAGGATAAAGGATCATTTAACTTAAGCATTCTTTACCTTATTCTCTTCACATTCCAAAAAGAAAAAGGAAGGAGTTTTCTAAATGTGTAGTCATCACTGCCTGAAGATAGACCACCCAACCACAGAATGAGGAACTTCAGTGATAATGAGAAATGTCTATTACCCTAGACCCTGCCTTCTATTTCTTCCAATAGTTATTAATTAACCCCTATAACATGGTACTGTCCCAGTTATTTCAGTGGGCACATCAATAGGATACACATCGTGCTCTTATGGAACTCATTACCTATGTGTAGGGAGAAGGAAGAGGATTCAGAAATGATAATGCACATCAGCATGAGATGAGGGAGGGAAGGATGAATTGCTTTGGCTATTCAGAGAAAGGAATCATACTTATTTGGGGTGATTCATGGAACACAGTCATTTGCAGTATTTTAGCAGAAGAGATGGGATTAAAGCATATCAGTTGAAGACAGGAGGAAAGACAAAGAAGTGGAAATGGACAGAAAAACAGAGGGAACTGATTATAATCCAACTGGTCAGGAAACAAGCAAAGTAGTGGGAAAAATGGGGAGACCTAAAAAAGTAGGCCAGTAATCTTGGAAGGCTTTAAGGCCAGGCTAAGAGGTTTGTACTTTATTTGGCTGTGGGGAAGGGAACAGTAAAGATTCTCGAATAGAAGAAAACCATATTCAGAGTTGGTAAACTGGGTATCAAGTGTACTGACTTTTATGGTTGTCTCTACTACTAAATGTCTGGTTCCCTGTCACTTAATTAGCCTAAATTTCAGTTGCCTGCTCTGAACCTAAGTAAATTGGACAAGTAATAACTAGGACATTCACAGCTTTAGTACTTTGATTTGCTAAAACAAAGCTGTGTTTGTTATATGTAGTACTAGAAGTGCAGAAGGGATGGAGCTCAGGAGCTGGGATAGGAGGCAATTAAAATCACTCAGGTGAGCAGATATTGTAGTGATAGTAGGAACAAACAGACAAAAGTAAGAGTTCCTACAGGTGAAATTAAAAAGACCTTGCATTTGATTGGATGACAGAATGAATTAAATCTTAGACAAGCAAAGTGTAGTAAAGATCCTTTAAGCTTTTGTGTCTAGAATAGTGATACTTTTGTAAATGTAACATGACTTGTAGAATATGAGATTGGTTTGGAGAAAAACAGAAATTGTAGAATATGTGGAAAGGGGATAATATGTAAGAGGGCTGACTCCAAGGCAAACAGACCTGGGCTTATATTTCAGCTCTGCCACTTACCAGTTGTGTGGTTTAAGCCTAAATTTCCTTTTCTCTATCTGTAAAGAGAAGCATTTAGCTTTCTTAAATTTCGTTTTCTTTATCGATATCCATTTCTAGGTTGTTGTGATCAATAAATGAGGTGATTTATGTCAGTCAGTATAGTCCCTGGCACAAAGTGAGTGTTAAATAAATATTCATCATCATCAACAACAAAATCAACATCAAAAATCTTCATGAAGTTATCTTGTAGGCTTTCATATGTAAATGCAGGACCTTGTGAGACAAATAGAATTGGCAGAAAAGCACTAATAGTTACAGGTCTTGAAATGATTATCAAATATGTGAGAATAGACAGGTAAGACTTCTTGCAGGAAGAAGTTCATACTTTAGAGTAAATTTTCTAAAAGAAACTTTCATATTTACATATTTTAAAAGTGAAGAATTGGACAGCCCAGAAAATGCTGAGAAAGAAGAAAAAATGGCCAAGCACAGATGTTTGGGAAATGCCCTGTGAGGCAAGTGGTAGAAAAAGAGAAGCCAGAAAAAGAAAAGAGAGAAAGGTCCCCAAGAGGTCTAGTTAACATAATAGAAGAGGCCAAGAGAGGTCTCACTGATGCCCCTGGGTCTATAGACAAGTTTACAAGGATAAAGACAGCACCAAACGCCCGATTTAGTGATCTCCAAGGCAAGAGGGTAAAAGGGGTAGAAATCAGCTCTCAAGGCAATACAGGTAGGTGGGCAGTTGGTGAGGATGTGGAAGCAGGCTGATGTAGTCTACACATTCAGCAGATTGGCACTGAAGGGAAAAATAGGTCATAAATTGGGCGAAATAGAAAGAGGGGAAAGAATATAAGATGGCTGTAGTTTCCAGTTTACTGATTAAGGTAATGGTAGTATTTTTTAAATACATCTTTATTATTTTTGCATAAGCAGTGCTTTTAAATGGTCAAAAAATCAAAATGATATACAAAGGTATATACACTAGGAAGTCTCACGCCAACCTCTCTTTGCATTCGGTTCATACCATCCCCCTTTACTTCATATGTGTAACTTTTTTTTTTATTATCAAATGTACATCACAGCAGTTCAACAGTCTGCCTCCCAATTCCCCCTCCCCCACTCCCCTCCCCCTTGGTAACCACTAGTCACTTCTCATTGTCTATGAGTCTAATGCTGTTTTGTTCCTTTAGTTTTGCTTTGTTTTTATATTCCACAAACAAGTGAAATCATTTGGTATTTGTCTTTCTCCACATGGCTTATTTCCCTGAGCATAATACCCTCTAGATCCATCCATGTTGTTGCAAATGGCAGGATTTCTTCTCTTTTTATGGCCAAATAATATCCCACTGTGTATATGTACCTCATGTTCTTTATCCATTCATCTATGTGTAACTTTTAATGTCTTTCCTTTTCTTTTGTTTATGCAAATATAAGAAAACAAATACATATATAAATTATTATTTCCCATTCTCTTAATACAAAAAGTAACTTTCTATATCCATTATTAAGTGCTTGCTCTTTTCTTTTAACAATACGTTGGAGATCATCCTTTGTTCACCTGGCAGTATTCTCTTTGTGAACATACCCAAGTCCCTCACTGCTGAGCAACAGAGTTGTTTCCAATCTTTGGCTATTAAAGATGTCACAAGGAATAACGTATATATGTTATTTCATATATGTGCAAATACAGGAATAGGACAGATTCTTGGAAGTGAGATCTCTGGGTCTAAGTATAAATGCAAATATAAGGATCAGGAAGGAGTCAAAAGGCTGAGCCAGTTGCTGAGGAAGCAAAGATGATGTTACAGATTTCATACATTAAAAAACCTAATTTAATAATACAAAAAACAGAACAAAGTAAAATTTACAATCACATAAATAACATGTTTAACATAAACATTAGAATTTATTGCATGCTTATGTAAATATGCATATTTGTACACACACCACTCTCCTCCCACCGACAACATGAAAGTGCCTTGAGGCCTTATTTCACAAAACCTCATTATATTCCTTTATCTATTTGCTCCTCACCTCCCATCCCTTCCCTATCCTGAAAATCTTCTCCTGTTTCCTCTAAGTTCATAATACATAACTAGAGAAATTCCCGCTACCTTCTTAGAACATTCCATCCTTTCCCCTTTAACAGAACCCGGGTCTCTCTCAAGGACTCTGGTCTCTCCAGCAGTGATTTTTCAGGGTTGCAGCTTCTCCTTCTCCAGCCTTTTTCTCACTGGGCTTAGAATTGGCATAGTTGTCCTCTTTGTTCCATTTTTCTGCCTCCAGACCATTCTTCCTTCCAAAACCTTTAAACTCTCCCAATTTGTAACCTCATTTTAGCTAATTATATAGCCAAGTGGAATGTGCACATATATATGTGTATACCGGTCACTATTGTCATCTACTGACCATCACTCCCTCTCACTCCTGGCTCAATATCATACTCCCCAGATCTACAGACTCTTGGAGATTTCGGTATACACATCATAGGTGATCCTCCCAACAACTTCGCCTCCCAGTCCCTTGACTTCCTCTGCTGCTCAGGTCTTCCATTCTGTGTCAGCCACTCACTCCCTCTATCATACCCCTGACCTTGCCGTTACAGTGCTATGACTGTGCTTCCTCCATAATCTTAGTTTCATGCATGACACGCTCTTACTACCACCTCTTATCTTTCACTTGCCCTCTGGCAGTTCCAGCCAGGAGAATCCATTGAAACTATTACCTTCTCACATATCCCTCATTCCCCTGAGAACTTAACTTCCTTCTTACTCAATTAAACTACATGGTCAATAAGCATAATCACCCCCTTGCCTAGATCTTCATTTCTCTTACATCTTTCTTCCTTTATTGAATTCATTTGTCAAAATGACAATCCTAGTTAAAGTCACTCTGTGCACTCCATGCTTGTATTTCTGAAGCTGAAGCTGAGAACTGAAAACACACAGGCATGTTAACTGGCCCATTTTTAAATACAAGACCACAAACCTTAAGGCTACCTTTCCCAACTTCATTTGCTCTCCCTCTTATCTAGTTAAATATTTCACACCCTCCTCTCTTCAAACTTTTGACACTTTCCACCTTCATGCTCATTCTCAGCTGATGGCTCTGCTTTGTATTTTATTGGAACAAATGAAAGGAATCAGACTCCTGCTGTATCTACCCACCCACGAGCATCTGTGCTCCCACTGAGTTATCCATTATCCTATCCAGAGCTAGTCCTGTCCATCCTTGCTCACCCACGTAACATCACTCTAGAAATTCTCCCTCTGTCCTCTGTCATCACTCTCCTCCCCTTTTCATTTGATCATTCATATCATGCTATTATTTTGTCACCTTACAAAATCCTTCTCTTGACTCCTCTTGCCCCCACCAGCCATCCACTCATTCCTCTTCTTACAGACTTCTTAATGTTAGAAGGTACCAGAACTCAGCCCTTCATTCTATTTGTACATTTACTCCCTTTGTAAAGATTCATGCTTTAAAGCAGACACATTTACATTTTCAACTGTCTTTTCAACTCAAGGTCATATATACTGCTGCCAACTCCATGTCTCTATTTGGAGGTGCAGTAGACATTTCACACTTAATAAGACAAAACCTAAACTTCTCCTCTTCCCTTAACAAAAAATGTATCCCACCTGCAGTGGTCCCCATCTTCATTGTGACAACTCCAATGCCTAATTGTTCAGGCCAAACACCTTGGAGTTGCCCTTAACTCCTCTCGTAATGTCTGACCTCTTCCCCACCCCACATCCCACTTACCAAGAAATCCTCTTGGCTGCCTTCCGCTTCTCACCAACCCCAGTGCTACGAGACTAGTCTGAACCATTGTTTTCTTTTAACTGGACAGCTGCAAGACAAACAGCTTCCCCTATTCTCTCTTGCATCCCCCTACTCTCAAGGGTAGTCTTAACAGAAGCCAGAACAATTCTTTTAAAATTAATCAATGTCACTCCTCTGCTTAGAACCCTCCAATGGCTTCCCATCTCTCACTTACAGAAAAAAAACAAGTCCTCACAGTGACCTACAAGGCTTTACATATTCTGGCCCCACTCCCCCTCTGCCCTCCTCTCATGCTCGTTTCCTCTGTGCTCAGTTAGTTACAGCCACTAACTGAATATATTAATACTCTTCTCTTTAAGCACATTTGGCATTTTCCTACCTCAGGCCTTTGTACTGTTTGCTCTCTCTGCTTGAATGTTCTTCCCCAGAATCTGTACTGCTAACTTCCTCATAGCCTACAAGTTTTGTCTCAAGTATCGCCTTTTCAATGAGCCCGACCCTGACCACCTTTTACAACTCACCTTTCCTATACAATTCAGACCCTCCTTACCCTGTTCTAGGTTTTCTCCCCACATTCATGATACACTATATACTTTATCTATTAGGTATATCTACTGTTTATGTCCCTAAACTAGAATATAAGCTTCATAAGTACAGAGACTCTGTTCTCTGAACTATCCCAAATGCCTAGAGTACAGTCTAGCACAAAATATGTACCCAGGTATTAATTAGTAAATGAATATGTCCCTAGAAAGGGCTCATGGTATCCATTCCATTCATAAAATTATATGAAAAGTCATGATGTGGGTTTATGTGGGTGATGAAAGATCTTAGAAAAGATCTTTTTCTAGTCCAATAGTTTCTCTTTTTCTTTTTTTCTTTTTGACAGCATAACTATATGATTTTTGTTCAAACAAAAAAGATCAAAATATCCTAACTATAAAGGAGGTAAACACTGTAAATTGATGCCTAGGGGTTGAAGTCTTTGTTATTCTACAGAAAAACTTTTTTGTTTTGGAGGCCCTTTCTCAAAGCCCAGAACTTCCTTTGAGGACAATCTCATTTTACAGCTGTGAAAACTGAGGACTCAGAGGTTATGTGAATTTCCCGGTGATACATAGCCAGTGACTGACAGGCACAGGCAGCTTCCCTGGACTCACTCCTGGGCTCTGGGGCCTGTAGTTTTCTGCATGCCCCTCCCTATCTGGTGACTTAAGAAATGAAGAACTCAGGAGACAAAACTTGAAGAGACTGCACTATGGCTGCTCGATTTTTCTTCCCTGCTCCCTGAGGTTTCTGTTATCCTCTTTCTCAGGCTGACACAGGCAAGAATTTAGTCACACTTCCCAACACAACTGCCACCGCAATTCTGTGCAGTGACGGGACCATCTGGCTGGAACCCGAGGTTCTCTTTTCAGGGCCACGCCAAGGTGAGATGATCTGGAGAAAAGTCACATGAGAGGGAACAAAATGTTTCAGTTAGAAAGTTTTAATTGGGCTTTCCTAAGCATGTGCTCTACTTTGTAGCATTTGAGTTTCCTCAAATCAATTACCGGAAGTATGGTGGGAAACCTTATACATACGCGTACGGACTTGGCTTGAACCACTTTGTTCCAGACAGGGTAATTAATCCATCTTATGAATATTAGAACAGTACTTTGAGTCATATACTAGTCAAATAAAGCATATGGGCTGATAGATTGATTTTTCTTTCTTACAAGCAGCTCTGTAAACTGAACGTCAAAACGAAAGAAACTTGGGTCTGGCAAGAACCTGATTCATACCCATCAGAACCCATCTTTGTTTCTCACCCAGATGCTTTAGAAGAAGATGATGGTAATGAAAGCAATGGATGTGTCTGAACACTCTCTTTTCACCAGAGTTCTATATATTAATTCACTAAGAGAAGAGTCAGTGATTATTTCCTACTGTTGAGATCCAGTCCTTAGGACTACTGACTGGGACCACACTAAAGAATTTAAACTTATTTGAAAAGTTTCATCTTGTAGCTAGATCTTATTAACCGTGGAAAAAAATGGTAAAGCACCATCTGGTGTCATGAGGGAGCATCCATATCTGTTGCAGATGTGGGAGGGAAGGCCAAAGAAAGAGCTGCATGAATTCTAGGCTTCTACCTTTCCTGACCTAGATGCATTTCTGAAAAAGGATCGAGTTCTAAAGGGGGAAAATTGAATATTCTAACAGATCAAAGAAAATGAGAATGAGGCTTTGTAAGTCTGGTTTGGGTTGGTTCTTTTAGCAAGCTGGGACTAGAAAAGAATATAACCTATAACACAGCAACTAAATTACAATCATCAGTCTTAGTTAACTACTGGTTAGCTGGGACAGGGAGGAGATTACACTCTCTGAGATAAAATATGGAAAATCACAGAGAAATGAGTAAAATAAAGAATTGTAGAGCCATTTCATGCTAAATGATTTTACATATACAGCCTATCCAGTCAAAACTGCAAAAGGCTTGTTCTCATTTTGTTTGAAGGAAGTATGCTTCCAGATGTGTGCTGGGAATTATAGAAATAATATGCTTATTGTTTTCAAAGTCTTTTAATATACATTTTTCATTTGATTGTCACAACACTTTAAAAAATTTTTGGCAGTAGGTAGAATGAATGTTAAATCATGTTACAGGTAGGAACACAGGTCCATAATAATTTAATGAGCACCGACTATGTTCTAGTCATTGTAGTAGGCTATTGGGGTACCATAGTGGGCAAGACAGATATAGTCACTCCCTTCTGGAGCTTACAGTCTGGGGGATATGAAGAGTTTAAAAGACACCTTCAGGGTGATTATACAACCAGATGGTGGGAGAGTCAGAACAAGATATCAAGTCATATGGTTTTTCTTCATTTGTCAGTGTAATACCTCCTACATTATTTTAATGACATTTAATGTATGGTCCTGGACTTTTTAATCCAACATTGCCTTATTTAATCCTGATTAACAGGTGTAGTTCTGAGTGTGGTGGTGAGCCCTGGGGCAGGACAAAAGCCCGCATATCTCTTGATCCTGAATGCCAAGGACTTGAGTGAAGTTGCCAGAGCTGAAGTGGAGATTAACATCCCAGTCACTTTTCATGGACTGTTCAAAAAATCCTGAGCACATCCCAGCAAGTTATGTTTCTTTGATAAAACCAAGAAAAATATAGTCAGGTCTACAATCAAATTCTGTTCAATTTTAGCCTGCCATATTACAAGGTTTTAACTTGCAGATGAACACAATTTTGCAATGTTTGCAGAGAGCGCAGAGTCAAACAAGCAATTTCTTTTTTAAAGACTACACATTTCAGATAATCATACTTTCTCTATATAAGACAAGCAGATCACAACTAAAAAACTCAACATATTTAACAATCAAAGAGAAAACAAATGTGGATTCATTAAACCGTTTTTTATTCTTATTATAAAAGTGTATCTTAGGTACCCATCTGCTCCAATTATTTTTTAACATTTAAAAGCCAAAGTCCTCTACACCTGATCTGTATGTGGCTTTGCTGAGTCAAGGCAATATCATGCAAAAGGCTTAACTACTAAATGTCAAACCAAACCTTTTCTCAAACAAGGGACGATCATATAAAAGTAATTAATAATTATGTATATAATATAAAATATATGTATGTCTGTGTAAATATTCTCAGACTTTTTAGTTTTTAATATTTCCATTAATATGGGCAACTACTGATTATTTCTGACTTTGCAATGAGTATTCCTATCTCTAATCCACTGAGGGCTCTCAAAAAAGTAACATCCCTGAGGATTAAATTATCTATTAAGAGCTTATATAACATCAAAGCAATTACATGTAGTAGTGACTAATTTTTTGAAAAACAGCATAAAATACTTACAAAGGTAATTTGTGTTTAAAATTGAACTATGGGATAGTGTTAGGGGTTACACTTTGCTGCCTTTTCTATCTAATATTTAAGCACCATGCAGTCACCTGACCAAAGAGAAAGAGGAGAGAGAAAATATTAACTTATTGATATTTAGGTATTAATACATTTTAAATTTATTTTTTAGATAATTCTATTCTGTGCCACCTGTTGCAAAAAAGAATGGAGATTGACAAATAATTTTATTCTACATCTTAATCTTATTCTCTATTTTATGCTCAAAAGTATTACACATCATAGTATTTAAGATGATCAGCCTTGTGTTTCATGAAGTAAGAATATCTTGAAGGAATAGCCTGTGGAGATCACCACAGCACTAAGAAAGGAGCAAGACAGATATGACTAGGCAGATATGATTCTTTTGGTTTCTTGATTTAGATAAAATGCAAACTCATTTTTTAAATTATAACTACTCATTAAAACATACTTTTCAAAGGAAATTTAAATTACAGAAAAGTGGAAATTATAAAGTAAAATGCAGAGCTCATCTAAGCTCACCTACTGTTGAGACTTGGGTACTGGTCTTTTCCATCTTTCCCCTCCCCAACCCTGTGGAATGTATTATTATTTTTTTGTGGAAAGTTCCTAGATAGAACTAGAAGACTCAAAAAGAAAAGCATGCCTGAGAATAACATGAAATATATGACTCTAGACAAATGTCAGTTCATTGTTTTTATGTCTCTAGACATGACACTTGAACATAATTTACAAAGAAGGCTATTTCTTCATTAAAATGCAGAAAATAAGTTACTGAATAATTATTAAGTTTTAAACTTAATAAAGTGTTCAAATTTAAGACAATTCCTAAAACCACCACTTCCTACACTTGTCAATCATTCCCTGCCTTTTTCCCATTCATTTTCTATGAAGTAAGCCTTGCAATTCAGTGCACCCCGCTCCCCCTTTTGTAGGATCCTGTGGCAAGCCCTGTGTGGAGACAACCACAGCACAAAGAAAGGAGCAAGGCAGATGTGACTAGAATAATATTCTGCCAATACCATTTCCCCAGAATTAAAATGTCCCAGGCAGTCATTCCTAGTATTATTCCAAGAAGGCTCAGGAGCTGCTTTTCAAGTCTAAAGATGGAACATGAGCTTTAAACGCTTAAATTAAAGTGAGGGAGATTTAAGTCAGGCAAGAGGAATTAACTTGGAAGTTCAGATTGAAAAAATTAAGGAACTTGTTTTCTGAGAAACAGAGCTAGATCTGGGGGATCTAGAGGATCATGTTCAATCTATAAACAAGTAAATCTGTTCTAAGGAAAAAAGTTAAGTTAAATGAAACAAATAAACCAGTTAATAAGTAGTTATTTTTTAAATAAGTTGTTTTTGAGTCAATTTTTTTCTATTCTGGACACCTTGTATTTGTCATAACAAGGGCAGATGATACTGAAACCACTGATGATATCAAGAGGTAATTAATATTTGATGGTAACTGCTTCATGTCAGACAATCTAGACTGTCCCCTCTACTATATTCCAAACTAAAAAGACTGAGACTGAAAACGAAGTTTACCTTCCAAGACTTCTGTGGTAGTATTATTCCATCATCCCACAGTCTGACTGAAGAATAAAATGCAGTTCTTTCTTCTGTAAACCTGATAGGAAAAGTATCAATGATTATGGATTATAAAGAAAATATCTCCTAAGATATCCCCTTAGAAACACCACTAAGAAACACCGAATCTGGTAAAATTCAGTCTCAAGAGAAACAATATCTGAAGAATAGGAAGAAAGGAAACACAATTATTGAGTGCCTTTTACATTTTCTTTTTTTAATTAAGGTATCATTGATACACACTCTTATGAAGGTTTCACAAGAAAAACAATGTGGTTATTACATTCACCCTTATTATCAAGTCCCAACCCATACCCCGTTGCAGGCACTGTCCATCAGTGTAGTAAGATGAAACAGAGTCCCTATTTGTCTTCTCTGAGCTATACTGTCTGTCTTCCCTGTGACCCCACACACACCATGTGCACCAATCATGACACCCCACAATCCCCTCCTCCCTCCCTCCCCACCTGCCCTCCCCCACCCATCCTCTTTGGTAACTGCTAGTCCCTTCTTGGAGTCTGTGAGTCTGCTGCTGTTTCATTTCTTCAGTTTTGCTTCATTGTTATACTCCACAAATGAGGGAGACCATTTGGTATTTGTCTTTCTCCACCTGACTTATTTCACTGAGCATAATACCCTCTAGCTCCATCCATGTTGTTGCAAATGGTAGGATTTGTTTCTTTCTTATGGCTGAATAGTATTCCATTGTGCATATGTACCACCTCTTCCTTTTCCATTCATCTACTGATGGACACTTAGGTTGCTTCCATTTCTTGGCAATTGTAAATAGTGCTGCAATAAACATAGGGTTGCATATGTCTTTTTGAATCTGAGAAGTTGTTTTCTTCAGGTAATTCCTAGGAGTGGAACCTCCATATTGTTTTCCAAAATGGTTGAACTAGTTTACATTCCCACCAGCAGTGTAGCAGGGCTCCGCTTTCTCCACATCCTCGCCAGCATTTGTTGTTCTTAGTCTTTTCGATGCTGGCCATCCTTACTGGTGTGAGGTGATATCTCATTGTGGTTTTAATTTGCATTTCCCTAATGATAAGCGATGTGGAGCATCTTTTCATGTGCCTGTTGGCCATCTGAATTTCTTCTTTGGAGAACTGTCTGTTCATATCCTCCACCCATTTTTTAATAGGGTTATTTGCTTTTGGGGTGTTAAGGCATGTGAGTTCTTTATACATTTTGGATGTTAACCCCTTGTCAGATATGTCATTTATAAATATATTTTCCCATACTGTAGGATGCCTTTTTGTTCTACTGATGGTGTCCTTTGCTGTACAGAAGCTTTTTAGCATGATGTAGTCCCATTTGTTCTTTTTTGATTTTGTTTTCCTTGTCCAAGGAGATGCACTCAGGAAAAAGTTGTTCATGTTTATATTCAAGAGGTTTTTGCCTATGTTTTCTTCTAAGAGTTTTATGTGTGCCTTTTACTTTTATAGAAAAGTCAAGATTATGTATAATGCTACACCCATCATGGTCCTATCTTCACCATTTTAAAGATGAAGAAAGGGAGGCCAAGTTACTTTTCTAACAAGTAGCAATATATAAACTGAAATCTAAACTTAGTATTTCCCCCCTGAAAATTTGTTTTCTGAAACCTTCTGAAATATTACTACTAATTAAAAATTGTGTTTCAAAAAAGACCAATTGTCATACTATTTGGTCATCAAATTTAGGTGCAAAAAAAATTTTTATTTTTACTGTTTCTTTGACTGTTCAGTAACTCTTAACTATTGCTTAGGAGGCCAAAATGCTCCCTCAATAATAGTGACCTTGTATCAGTAATTATTATGCCAATGATACCACCAGTTGGTCTCTATAAAACCTATTTGTAGATTTGTTGATCCTATTTTGCAGATGAGGTAAGTGAAGCTCAATAAAGTTAAATAATTTAGCCAATTTTCCACACAGAATAGGGATCTGATTTCAAAGACCTACTCTGTCTCTTGGATATGGTGAACTATTACTTTGAGGTAGTTCACAATTTCAACATTAGATCACTACATTCATTTTGGTGACATCCTAAAAGCCTAGGCTTTCAGTGGTTGCTGTGGAAATGCAAGTAAATGCAAAAACTAATGTGGAACACAAAATGATAATGCCTGTGTCCAATCTGATTCCAAAGTTTGAAAAGTTATATAATGCCCAAAAGGCATTAAGTTATTTTTTAAAAATGATAACATTATGTCATTTAGACTTAACTACTTAATAACAAGAAATGTTAGGTATTTCTTTTGGAATATCTTGGAAAGATTACTGAGACACTAAGGGCTTTTTGAACTGAGAAAGTTTGAGAACCTCTGTTCAAGACCCTGGTTTTTAACTTAAGATAAAAGTAAACTTTATAGAACCTAGGCTAGAGAGCTATGATTTAAATAAATTCATAAATTCATCTTCATAACAAATCATTTTATATCAATTTTTACATTAAAGGGGTTTGTTTAATTGAAAAAGAAGAAAAATGAAAGAATCATATTCAATATGTCTGTTTATGGACATTTTTTACACTACTATGTTCATAATATATTAGATGGATAATACAATATGTTTAAGAAATTAGAACAAATATCTCAAAACTTACTCTTTCTCAACTTCCTTTAACTTAGATTCATACATATATCTACTTTCATCTCCTTCTAGAAGGTGAGTCAAGGGATAGCTCTCATTTACAAGAACAATCCTCACATTGGGCCAGAAGGGTAAGTATTTAGGATCAAAGGATCTCCAACACTAAAAGAAGAAGCATCTCTAAGTGTCCATGAATTATAAAAATATTACATTTGTAATGAGATTATGAATAATCAGCTAATCCAAGAAGTAAAGAATATACATTATGGCTGAAGCTATTATAAGATGAGAGCTAAACAAGTATATAAAAGCTTAGATGTGAAGGCTAAGGTGATGTAATATGTAGAAGAAACTTGAAGATTATGCTCAACCATGACTGGTCATGATTTATTTCAATGGTAGAATAGGAAATAATACTAGACCTGACTTTGAATGCTTTGGGGGAGATACAAAGCACCTACCACAGTGCTTGCACATAGTAGCTACTCAACAAATGTTGCTGATACACCTTTTTTTTAATTTTCAACAAATTTAGAAGCTTTCTTTGCTGCATGCTTTATTAGAGT